TGCAAGCACTGGAGTTCACATTTCAGTAAAAAAATCATACACTCTAACTGTCAAAATGTACATAACAAACTATGGAAAAGTTATTTTACAGACAGTAGGATATTTCATAACCCAAGGTTGAGACAAAGTTCATTTATTGTCCGCTCTTTGTTTATGAATACACGAGCAAGATAGTTGAATTTTGGTAGGCGTTAATTCGAGATGAAATCTGGTAGAATTGGGAGCGTATTGAATGATGGGAACGACAAATTGTCAGTTCTGCATGCAATGGGTGATCAGGATCTGTGAGAATCCTCAGCAAATTTCACACAGGAAGTTACATGATACCCTGAAAGCTTCACAACTAATTCATTCACAGGAATAGAAGAGACACGACTAATAATGGTTAGACCGCGACGTAAGACTTTGAAATCTTGTTTGAGTAAACCAGGAAAAATAACTGGGGAACAGAAGAGTAAGATAAACAAAGGTAGAAATAACTGACTAGAAAGCACGAAACTGCTTGGGCTTTCCTATTTGAAATGATAGGCGCCGCAGTTTACCAATGCATTTGTGGATGTGGGTTGACCAATGAAGATTGCTATCTATAGTTACACCAAGATATTTGATAGTTTACCCTGGATAAGAGATTGTTATTAATCACTGTGGAGTCTGTCGGATATGAGGAGGGAGTAAAACTACATAAACACTCAACACATTTACTGGGGTTCGGGGTTAGCCCCGATGAGGAGGAAAATGACTGAATTTGATCAAGATTATCGGTAAAAGAACTTAGATCAGAGTAAGAAGAAATGGGTTGGCACAACACGACATCATCTGCATATTTCAAAATTCGTGCGGGGAAAATACAGGGAATATCACAAATATAAGTGGCAAATAAGTATGGGGATAGCACAGCTCCTTGAAGGACCCCGGAGTTGCTGACTAAGGGTTTCGATATGGCCTTCCCCAATCTAGTACCCTTGTACCCTATCGGTAAAATAGTTGGATAGCCAAGCTAATAACTGCTTGGGACATTCAAACGATTCCAGTTTTTGTAACAACTTAGATCGAGAAATGGAATCAAATGCAGAAGAGTAGTCGAGAAAAGCACACCGAGCAGACTAAACAGAGCTGTTCAAAACTTAGTGATGAAATGAATGAGGGTGGAGACTGCGTCCCAGGTCGATCTATCAGGCTTGTAAGCAAACTGTAACAGATCACTGTGAATGTTTATAAACTACTGAAGGCGTTTACGGATGGCCTTTTCAGCCAATTTAAGAGCTGAAGATGTTAATGCTATAGGCCGAAAACGTTTGGAGAGAATAGTAGATTTGGATGCTTTGGGGATTGGTTTGATTGTGACCGGCCTCCAACAGTCGGGGATATTAGAAGTGTGAAGAGATTGTTTGACTGTCCGATCAGACACGTGGAAATCTTCGTTTCCGCGGCAAAATTTGTTTGTTTGCCTCCGTGCACATCATAGGCAGGGACCATTTATAGAATCAGGTATGGGACTAGGTACATGGTTTTCTTTTCCTTCCCATATCCACTTCAACTGAACCAACGGATAAAAATTTATTCCGTTCAATGATTTTCTGTTTCTGTATTAAGTTCCATCATCAAAAGCAAGCGCCCTAAAAGAAGCATCTCCAGTACCTACCCGTGTCCACTTTCTCCCGGTTTGTCGACAAGACACTTATGGTAATTCAGCGTCCCGCATTTTGCAAGAAGAATCGTGTTCACCCTGGTGTGGATTTGGAATCACCTCAAACCATGGTGCTTCTGGTGCTTCTTCAGTGACCTGAAAATCCAAGTACTGATCAGCTTTTCCGATCACTTTCATGCTAACCAAACTTTTCGGGTTGTACCATTGTAACTCCACCCTACTTTCTTCCTTGCGCAAAGCCATCACAACAGAAATTATCCTCTAGTGATTTATTATATTAAATATGCTAAGAATCTAATAGAATACGGGCTATTGCCTTTACAACGCTATACCATTGAAAGTCGTCACCTTATTCACACCTAAATAATATAGCGCCTTGTCAATTTCTGTTATGGATATGCACCGATCAATTATGCTCCGTTTTAGATAGTTGAGTGCTCTGGGTTCTAATGTTCCCTTTTCCAGTCTATGATCTCTTCTAGAATAATTGCCCAGTCTGCTACTTCATTTTTTTCTTCTTTCACTTTATTCACTGACTCATATACTTTTGTTATCCTGTTGCCCTTGAGGTGATTTACTTCAGATCCCGATTTCTTTAACTAATTCCGTCAATAATAATTAAGTTGCAATATGTGAGCTTTGATCCTTTCTTGATGAGAGAGGTTTTGTCTCGATAGCGATTTGAGTAGTTTCTATTCAGCCCTCTTTGCATTCGGTTGCCTCAGGATTTGTACCGTGTCTCCTAGCCAGGGTGATCTTTGTGCCACCTCTGCACGAGACCTGGATGACGTTTTTATCACTGCCGTGGAGTCTCATCAAAGAACTCTCTGATGACGTGCAATGAGATTTGCGGACCCGCGAAACTACTTCGCACAATCAACAATATGCACCGCGCTGATACCGCAAAGCGTGGATCTCTGCAGTTGTACACGTGAATTCGGGAATCGCTCCAGTTTTCGCGGACACATCAATGTGCCCCTAAAATCCATTTTTCCTGCATAATCTCTTTTAGGCAAAGAGCTGCATCACGAGAATATTAATAAAATATGACGGTCAAAACGGATGAAATATAAACGGCTTCAGGGCCTTTAGTAATACACGTGCGATCTGGTCTATGACCAAAAGATGATACCAAGGGATACCATGGATGGAAATTACGAACTCAAATGCTCCAAAACATTTGAAAAATTTGTGATAACCTAATACACATAATTCGTTGTCTAGCTTATTCAAAAAATGGCAAAACCCATTATCGAGTTTGTTTCGCTGATCTGTTATCATAATTTAGTAACAACTCACACGCGACCGACTCAAGCGTATCACCAATCTCCGTATCCTTATTCATTTTCCTTCGGGTTGGGTTACTCAGTTGACAACCAGCACTTAATCTGATGATTTGGTATTATCATGCCACTTGAGTTCTATGTGATTCTTGCTCCTTCGGATCTGGTTTCAATTTCCTTAACCTCCAAGCTGTCTATTTCTGAAAGAATTTATGTTAAATTCATAGACGGCTCTCAGTCTATTTTATATAAGCGATGCCAATAACTCATTTATACGCTATTTATTCACCACCATCATCACTCATCTTGTTGCATATCATGACTCAGTAGATGGAAACAAACTTATACGACTGTGATTCATTTTTCAATCTTTGCTTCGAACACCGATGTGCTCATTTTCTTGCTAGGACATTTATATTTGCCTATCACATATACCAAATGCTCTTTTTTTTCCTCATCCGCTCGCAACGATGTACTGAACTGACTTTGATGTGACATTTTCACTTTGTGTTGATGGATATTCTGTCTGCGGTCACTGGCTGAATGTCCCCTCCTCCGACCCTTCCCTACTCGGCACAGGGACGAGGATAACGATCTCAAATCAAAAATTCGTCAGAAATTCACGCGAGAGTCCGACGATTTTCTTGGACAAACAATTATTGAAGTTCGAACGCTGAGCGGTGAAATGGATGTTTGGTATAACCTCGGTACGTACCAGTTGCCTTATCGGCTCCACTCGATTTGCTTAATAAATAGGCACCCGTCCGCCAATGCACACATGTATCAGTATCTTACTAAGAAAATCTCATATGGTTATCAAAATCATTTTTAACCGATATGAGCACTATCAATCAGATTTTCTCAGAATGGTTTGGTTCTCGTTGTAGCATTCATAGACTTTAAACACTATCTGCATAAACTCTTTACCCATTCCCTAAACCTATTACAATTCAAGTTGTCCTAATATAATTTCAAGTTATCTCAGTATCACTTCAGGTTGTCTGAGCCTCGTTCCAAACTGTCCCGCGCTGCAAGACTCATGCACTCGTAAAGCCTTCCAGCGATGCCTGGATGACTACCATGCAGCATAGACTTCTCAACCTCAGAATGAAGCGCGGAGGGGGGGGGATTGTGACACGTGCCTCGGTCACAAACACCCCAATCCCCATAATATATCTTGATTGTTTACCTTGTTAGTAGGCGTACGCGTCTCTCTCTCTCTCTGTGTTCGTCCCCTTCCCAATGAAAGTCATATCTGACCGTGCTACGATGATACCAATGAATCATGCACGATCAACGCTTGAACAATTACTTACATCCGTTGCATGATGCTACAATAGAATTTACGAGCGGTACTTCAAGCGGCTGCAACGGGACATCAATCGGTCATGCTCGATCGATATACTCCTCCAGAAAAGAATGTTGTCTATCAACCCAACCGCGATTGAAATAACGTAACGAGGGGTGTCGAAATATAGCAGAAATTTTATGATAGTAACCGAATTTTATAAGAAATTCTAAGTCAACTAATTGGAATGTTTTTCAAAAATACACTGTTTGAGTATGGATTCGATAATATTTATCGCCGAAATCATATAGTCCTATTAAAGCGCTCCCACTACACAATGTAATCCGGGTGGATTAAGGCTAAGGTATGACATTCTAGCTGGATTCAAACAATCCTATTGTAAAATGAAGCGAGCTGATTACTGGAAGGTGCGTACAAATTATTGGGACACTGCAATTTCTCGATTCAGTTTCACGATGGGAACACCATCGTGGTCGTTCTCAAAATAGTGATTACCGAAGCCACCACCAATCGGAGATTGTGAAAATGTTTGATAAGTATTGGAAACACCTTTTTTGCGTAATGCAGATCAGCGCTAAACAAATCAAGATCCATTGCTATCAGCCGAGCATGGCCAGGTATGACTTTTCTGGGGGATGGGGACAAGCACACGCATACAGAGATGCGTACACCTACTAGCAAGGTATCAAAATATGTCATGGGGATTGGAGGCGTGTGTGGCCGAGGCACGTGCTACCATCGTCCCCCCGTGCTTCAACCTGATGTTAGGACGTCTATGCAGCATGGTGATCATCCAGGCATCGCTGGGAGGCTTTAAAAGTGCATGAATCTGGAAGCTCGGATGAGGTCAATGGAACAACTTGAGATGAGGAGCAGACAACTTGAAGGGATATTGAGAAAATTTGAGATGATACCCGGACTTCTTGAAATACCATTCTAACCACTTGAATTGTAAAACGTATAGATTGCTCACGTTCAGTTAGCTTAGCATACGCACACAGGATGACTGTACACTTGTACAAGTCCATGAAGATCTTCGGGTGAAATTTTCCAGTTTTAGTAGTTAATGAAAGATTTACCTCAGCGCGGACAGATTGCCACTAAATGCGAAACAGTTGAAAAGGATTGCTCAAACCCAACAACTGAACCCTACAGCGGTGGTAGTGCCGAANCACTGTCCTTGATTTCTGCTTCGACAAACGAATCGGTTGATACGGAATGAGGTCTGCCAGGAGTTGCGGTACTGAGTTAGTTGCCCAGTGAGGCGTGCATCTTGTGGCACCGAGGGACATAGTCGATACTACATACATCTTCGGACTGAGAGGGAGAAGCACGGGTTGAATTGGACACCGGTTACATTGTGTGTGNGTGTGTGTGTGTGTGGGCGTTGCACGTCGATACCCTCATCTTCACTCTCTCCATCTTGCGTCCGTCTGTTGGTCAATCGAATGAACTTAGGCAAAGATAAGCATAACTGGACGGGCATGCACGCACACACACACACACACACACACACACACAAAAGTCATTTAATTCAGATGAACTCGAGTATCCATCCTTTTTCTGGGAAGATTGCCATCATGACATTGACAGAACCAGTGGGTGTTTGATAGCTTCTTACTCGGGAAAATATAACAATACTAATCTAACTAACTAATCTATAACTGTATTCGAAAGGTGAAGATTTTACGCCCTATTTCTACATGAACCACAGTCGCACTCTGTTTCCATCAACGCAATCTATCAGTTCACCGTATTGACTGTGCAAGCGCCGTCTGACATCAAGTGTGATCTTATATCGTTCCGTTCACCCCCTCCGCATTGGCAGATGGGATCCGGAATTTTCGGGTTTTAATGTTCTGTTGGTAACATAAATGTTATTTTGCGTCATGAATGAATATGGCCTCTCCCCACTCGCTCTCTGCGTGTGAATCTTTCATGATTTATGAACACCGGATAGAGCAGATCTCAGTTTTGTCCCACGATAACACCAACTCTGTAGTTTCCCTTAACTCGTCATACAAATAGTATCTATGCTCGTTTTTCACTACCAGTGTGCTCTTACATCATTACAGAAAAGCGTACGGACAAATCGGCTGTATCCGGGGCGATTCGACTGCAAATTTTGGTAGAAATCAAGGGTGAAGAACAAACTGCCTCTTATCACGTCCAGTACACCGCTTTGCATGAGGTAAACCGAATGAACTGTGAATATGATTCCCCTGCCTGTTTTCTGGTATTGTCAATATAGACAGAAAGGTGAAACTACAGGTCTAATCGAAACTGAAACAACGGGTCCATATGAAACACTTGTGGGTTCGTATACGCAACAGCATTTATACTAGAGTTAATTTTTTTTCAAATTATAATAAACAAGCCTTGGTGAGTTTTTATAGTATTGATTTTCCTGATTCGTTTATACTCAGCAGATGGAATGGTTCAGAATGTAGCGGATACTCCCATTTCGCCAGTAGTGGTTGACCTAGACCATGATGAGTTATGAGATAACTAAAGAGAATGGAATAGTTTTTATTTACAACAAATTAACATTGATAGTAATTAAGATGTAAAGTTTGTGTACACTAAAAGCCGATTGGTCTGCCTTTGTTCTTTAGGACTTTTTCGAATCTCTTCCGCATAGAACCCACGAACTTTGTTATGAAGCCATCTTCTATTTTGTGCCCCATTGCGTAGCGCACTTTTGCCTCCAATGTCCAATGTGAAGGTAGCTCATTTACGTCTCTCTTCGAAACAGAAAGCAGATTTTCAATCACATTGAGATCCGGGATATTAGGGGGAAGTTGCATGAACTGGACCCTAAAGTCACGCATTTGAAGTCTAAAAGCAAATAACCAGACTCCTTAGCTAAATCAATTTACAACCATCTCGTGAAACATGACACGGTGCGTTATCCTGGAAAACGATAACTTTTTCAGACTTATGTTTCTCATGAAATTCTGGAAATTCTGGCCAGTACGGTAATAGTCTTTCGATTTTGTTTTGCGGTTGAAATTCATCAAATATCATCACCAGCGAATGGATTTATTTACGCACATTATACGAAGTCTTGAGCCTTGGGGGTTCCCAAGCGATCTCTGACTTTCCGCTTTAAAAAAGGTGGGTGCGCAGCCTTGGGCCATTCAGACAAATAGATCTTGTTCGTGGGCAAACGTCAAACAAACATAATTGCTTTGTTGCAGTGTAATGCACTAGCTGTCGGTGAATTCGGTACTTCTAACCACAATGGAATTGCTAGTTCTGCAAACCTGAACAGATATTAAACAGAAACAAGATGTGCAGGGATACCATTCAACCGTTATTGCTTTTCACAAAAAGATTGTATTGTTTGTCGTATGAAATTTGTCTTGCAAAGATCAACGGAAATGTGAACTGAACTGTTGGATTAGCAGATCGACAGTCCAGATGAGATACAACCCGGTTGATGCCAATGAACCCGGATTTTTCGTACCCCTTTCGTGTGTGTTCGGATGAATCTCACTTCGGGGGCACTGTTCGTGTCAAGGCGTAATGTTCTGGCGAGACTCGACAAGGTTAACTCCAAACCAAACCGCTATTATAAATGATTGACAAAGATATTTGCTCATAGACTCACATCTTCACGAATCTTTATGTCAATCGTCTAACCAAAAACAAGTCATCGATTGATTTTCGACTCTTTGAACTTAACTATGTCCATGAATGCCGCTCTCCTTCCTCATGAGTGAAAATCTTTAGTAATAGTCACCAAAGGGAAATTTTCACGTTAAGTGGAACGATTAAATTTCGAAGTGCTAATTGGCTCTTATTATTCCATCGGACTATTTTTTTCTTGCCACCATTCGTTTGTGTTCGGGGTGCAGTGTCCCTTCAAAGTGGATTTTCAAAACATTTCCTTCGACCAGTAGCCACAGAATATGGAATTAACAGCACGTTGTTCAATTCTTTCCCACCCCATTCGTATGCACTGCTCGCTGTGTGCTGATCGCGTCTCATTCTCACCTGCTCGAAATCAGAACATATTCTGTTATCTATGTGGACAACACGAACCGGTCTTCCTTCCCGAACCTGCGCCAGCCTCAGCCAAACCGGTAAGTCATACGGGTTACAGGACAGTCTTCTAAAACCGGGTGGGCTACTTCCGAAACAGATTTCCAGAATGTCTCCAATGTCGGCTGTTGTTTGCGTAACTTTAGGGTAGGATGGGGGGGGGGGATTTCCAACCTGAGGGTTCGTTGTTTTGACTCTCGACAGCCAAGCAAAAAGTAATAAGCACCACTGATGAGCCCGAATAAAGGCAAAACCACACTCTAGTTCTCTTCCCAGAACCATTGTCAATAGCCTCTTACTGAAACTGAAGACGCTTAAAGTTTTCCTCATTGGCAACTGCTTTGTGGCAATCAGTTTCAGTTAAGCGTTTTTTACAACCATCAGCCGATTTGCATTGCCACCTTTGGGCTGCCAATTTGGACAAAAGAACAGAAAGAGAATTGGAATGTTGAGAACGGTACCAAAAAAGATAGCGAATTCACATAGAGTTGAGTTGCAAGAATGATGAGCCGATAGACTGATGCCTTTTGTTCATGGATTGCTAACTGGAATCGGATATTTCCCTTACAATGAGTATGCCCTTGCACGGATTATGGTTTCTCGTCCACCCTTCATCCCCATAGACGTGTGAACATATGTCATATCCTATCAATCTCCACTGAGATGTTTCAAATGGCCAGCCGTGTTTCATTTTACTAACAAAAATATGCTCTTCCTTCAAATAAAATAATAAAAGGAATTTTACTTTGAATTTTCTTCTCGTTCTCAGTCGTTGTTTAAAAAACAAGCATATTAAAAATCAAGGACGATTTCCATCCACACAAACATATTTCATAACAATCCTTCTTTAAATAATCATTTAAAGTATCTTACTCCAAAAACAGGACAGACGAATATTACTGATTTAAAAACTGCCCNCAGTAGCTACTAACCTCTGATGTAAACAACACGCTGGCGAGATTATGTTCGTTGTCGACCGAATTTCCCGATTTGTAAACAGCATGGCCGCTGAATAACAAAAACAATTAATGCATATTCCCACTCATTGCTAAATCGAAACCACTCTACATTGGTCATTGATAATATCCCCTACATCCCACCCCCGCCTCCCGCGTACACAGTCCACAGATGCGTGGCGTGTTTATTTCAACCCGGTTGGTCAAGAAGTTGTGGACGAATTCGCCATGCGTTATGGAATCGAACCGATTTTTCAGGCCATGACGTAAGTTTCTGTTTTGTCACCATACACTATACACTATGCACAACATGGATAGATAACTCGCAATCCGATTCAGGTGGCATCGTCTAAATCGGACAAGCAATTTAGAGGATGTGCGGGAAAATATTTCCTCAGAAGTGGAAGAGCGGTTTGAAAATTCGTTTCGCATATCGAATCCGGGATTCGTCTGTCTTTTCCCGCTTTCTCTTATCGTATATTCATCGGAATGGTGGCGTGATGCGTTCACTTGTCTCGAGAAAACTCCACGAAATGCAAATAAGAATATTTTGGTCAAATATCTGTGTAGATTTTGGCTCAACTGTCCCGACTGGTATGCTTTAAGGCTGGATGCAAATCTTCCATTTCGAACTGAGAGGGTACCAAGGGGTGATGGAAAGGCACCGTAAATGTTCTCAGTTCGGTGCCACGACGCAGATTGCCATCACCGAATCTCGAGCAAGATAAACGGTGCACTGCATCCACTGACACGTTAATTAACCCGGGCTGCCATTGGAACACTCTACACGAACTGTGGTCCTTTAATCGATTCCACGAGGGAATTCCCGGTGGAAAACGTTCCAATCCGAAAATTCAGAAGTCCAAGGTGTGGCAAGATTACATTCGGCCAATGCACAGAGTACGGACGTGTTTTCTAATGAAATAGTTACATTGTGCAGCTAAAAATAGTACATGAAATAGCCAATAACCGAATGATTTCGAGCTGCTCTTCAAATATCCTGTCTTTCTGCGACACCAGTCGAGGTATCGTTCTAGTTCCAAGAAATGTTCTTAAAGTGGACGCTCCTGGAAGCATCCGTTGATGGTATCCTAGTCATCACTTACTCGATTCTATGATTTTTCATTAAACTGAGGGAGATAAAAGACAGTTTTCACGTTTATGAGCGACAGGTATTGAGTTTAATTGGGAAAATTGGAAAACACAATTTCGCACCTTTCTCCACGATGCTCTGTAACCTACTGGGCACGATGATCACTGTCTCTTCTGGACGAGGTTGCGTATCAAACAGCCTGGGTTTTTGAACCACTTAAGAAAGATATAGGTTTTGGGGGATGGAATATCGGTCCCCAAAGCACTGAGGTTTTCACATGGCCTCGTTGCTGTGCGGGTCAAGCTATGGTTAACCAAGGGCTACCGTTGTGAAGTTGCCCAAGAAAATTTATTCATTGGTCTGGGAAACCAAGAAGTATTCCCGAGGAAATCAAGATCGCTTCACTGTCATTTGTCTGGCACTCTTTCTATATATATATATATATATATATATATATATATATATATG